GGGCGGCAAGATAGGTTCTTCAAGAAAAGGGAGGAACAAGGGAAAACAGGAGGTTTTCCCCGTGGACCGACCCGTGACGAGATCCTATTCGCGGGCCCATAACAAAATGTTCTCATAAGAAACAAAATGGGAAATGGGATGCTTAGTGATGCAAGACCTGACTCCATTTTTTTGCAATAGGAATATCCAGGTCATCAACCAGAAGTATTTATGCAAATAGGGTCAAAACACATTAATGGAAATAAGGTTACCTGGTTGGATAGGATTTGCCCCTAGGGAGTCTAATGACGTTGGTGTTACAACTTCAAGTTGCTTCATGACTCTTGAACTTGATTGGTCCTTGCAACGAAAAATGAAAACAACAGAATGGAGAGGATCAAGAAGAGGAGGAAGTTAAACCTGAACTTATTTCACTATAAAAAGAAGGGCACATCTATAGAAACATAATACTTCTTGGAAACAGGATCAAAACATAGGTAACCCTTTTGAGAAGATGGGGTACCCCAGGAAAACATAGGGAATAGTATGGGGGTCAAGTTTACCACAAGTGGGAGACAGGTCTTAAACAAAACAAACCACAAGCATATGAAATAGTAATGTTTAGAAGCATTGGGAAATAGGAGTTGATGTGGGGCCTTGTACTCCATCCAGAAACGTTTAGGAGCATTCATATGAAATAGTAATCCACAAGCAACTTCAAGTAGATGGCAATTTTGCTTTCTACAATGCAATTTTGTTGGGATGTTTCAGTACAAAAACTACGGTGAAGGGATCCACATGAAGCAAAGAACTCTGTAAGGTCACACTATGGATATACTCCTTGGCATTGTCAAATTGGAAAATTTTGATTTCAATTTGAAATTGGGTGAATATCATACATTGGAAATCTTTCACAATTTCAGGTACTTCATATCTTGATCACATTGGATACACCCATGTATATTTGGAGTAGTCATTAATAAGTGTAATAAAGTACTTGTAACTAGTCTCGGAAGGCAAACTAACAAGGCCCCAAAAATCAAAATAAACAACATGGAAAGGAATTTTAGATTTATTATTTCTTGAAGGAAAATGATTTCTACAATGTTTGCTCAAAAGATTTATTATTGACACCGACTTAAACAATTCTAGAAACAAAATTTTCAATGACTCAAAAGATAAATAACAGAGATGACTTTTCCATAAATGGGCTTGACTCTTACTAGACTAACTCATAGACATTTTGGCTGCAAGAGTAGCTTTATTCTCTAGGACATAGAGATCATCAACCACACTACCTCTACCAGTCATCTTCCCTGAGGTCAAATCCTTTATCACACAAGAAAAAGGGAAAAAGGTTACTATGTAGTTTAACAAATTGGTAATGCTACTAAATTGAGTTCAAGTTTATAGATAGTTAAGAAACATGCTATACATTAGAGATAGTGAGGTTAAAAGGAAGGGAGATGATTCCTTGACCAGCTATGGTGGAGAACAAGCCATTAATTAGTCTTACTTTGTCCCTCCTAGAAAGAAGTCTATATGACTGAAACAAGTTGGACGTACTTATCATGTGATTTAAGGGTCCTAAGTCATTATCCAAGGAGAGTCTATAGTATGAAAAGACACATAGAAGATTGTAGCAGAATTAACCTAATATAGACACAAAGGAAGTCAAGGGAGTAGGGCCAGAATCCATCTAACAGAGTGCCCTACTATAAAGCTCTAAATGGTCACAAAATAAATTGATGAAACCTTCCATGGGATTAGAACTAAAAGGACATTCATGATTCACCGTAGAGCTGGATGTTTGAGTCTCCTGCAAGGCCATATTGGCTAAATTGTACTTCCTCTAGCCTTGTGGCCTCCTTATTTTGGTCTTATTTCTTAACTAACTCTTGATCCCACTTCGGTTTTCCATGGAGATCCCAACAAGTATCACGAGTGTGTCTAGACCATTAATAATGATTGCACCACAGTTTATCCTTGTCATCCATTCTCTTTTGGACATCACTCTTCTTAAAAGAATTGCCACCATTTGTACTTGAACCCCCATGGCTGCCAAAGCAACTAGATCCCCCTCAGAACTATTCATCACATTTCTTCTACTTTCTTCAAGAACTAAAGAAAGTTTTTTACTTCTAGGATTTGCACACTAATAGACTCATATACTGGGTTCAGCCCTAAAAGGAAGCAAACACCCATTGTTGGGAACCAAGAGACTTGTAAGCTTTAGCATCTTCATCAAACTTCTACTCCATACTCTGATAATGATCTAAGTCCTTCCAAATTGATGTCAAATCTGAATGGTACAAAAGATTCCTTTCCCTTTGCTGCTTACAAATAGAGGATTCAGCTTGTAACTGATAAATCTTCACATAATACCACTGCTCAGAATAGGTAGGTTTGGCTTGTTCTCAAATTTCATATGCAATGTCAGTCCACACTAGAACCCAAGACATCACCATGTTGTTCTACTGGTTCCACCTATCATATTCAGCAGTTCCAGACTTCAGTTGCTTAAAATTACCATTTATAAATCCTATTTTTCCCCTTGCAGTGATACAGAGTTTTGTGGAGACACAGACAGCAGAGTCTTCAAAAGACATGGTCAAAAAATCAGATTCACTTAATCAACCACAAAGCATTGTAGGTAGAGAAGACTATCACTAAGCTGCCAGGTGTACTACAAACCAGCACTGTAGGTCAATTTCTCCATTCTACACAAATACTACTGCTGGAAACACAGGTACAGCATCAGTTTGGTAGTCCTACACTACTATCACCACAGTTACTTGAAATACTAGGTTTTACTGCTGTTATAGCACATACAAGTCATAACAGATCTACAAACATCACACAAAGGATCACACAATCCACTAGGAGGATTGGAAACCATTTAAACTCTTCACACCATCCAACCGAACCAGTTGCACATATTTTTCTTGGTACATGACCAAGAGATAAGAGGACTCAGAAAAAACTCTCAGACCAGTCCGATAGGGTTTCTCTGATCTTTAATCCAAAAGTAAGACGAGAAGGAAGAAAGAACACTGATCGATCTTGTTCTCAGGTCCAACAAACCCACTTTAACACCATATTAACCTGGAAAAAATAAGAGAAAACAGGAAAAAAACAGAGAAGAGAAAGGAGAGAAGATAGTAGCCAGATTTTCTCTGTATATTAAGGCATCACATACTCTAATTAAAAAGACAGGAAAAGATGGTAATGCACTTGCAACACTATATTTACAAAAGATGACAGTTTTAACAATATAGAATATAAGACATCAACATGGATTTCCATGGGAAGGGCATTAGGCAGAAATGCCCAAATAAAAGAATATCAATTGCCTTGAAAAATATTAAAAAGTAGAACCAAAAATGCTGCAATAAAATGCTCTAAAAGGTTGGTAAAAAGTAAGTGTGCTCCATTGACAGAACAAGATGTTAAACACAGTCACAAACTCAAATATATAAATGGAATAAACTGGTAATATTGAACTTAAAGTACACCTTTGAATCCCAGGAAAAGCATCCTTTAACAGATATCGCTGGAAAACCTTGCTCGAGAGGTGGATTTGGCAACAGAATTCTCTCTTCAGCTAAGAAAAGTTCCTCCAGACGTTTCAATGATACATTAGCATTTACAACCTGCAAAGCTAGAGTAGCATTAGAAATGCAGAACACTGGAAAAGATTATACTTTCTTGTTTGTATGAAAAAGCAAAGTTTTAAGAGGTATATAAGGCTTAGACCTTAAGTAAAATGCCATGAGCTTCAATATTGAGGCACACACCTAAAAGTACAATGTGCATTCATCATACTTTATAGTGCTTTATACCAAGAACATGGATTTCATACATTAATTAAAGTAGCATTCTCTCATAAGAATGAAGTAAAGACTAATTCTATGATTTCTGGTGTCAGTTCTTGATTTGTATTAATATTTATGGTTTTCAACACCCTTTTGAAGTTATGATGACTTCAATTGATGAGTAATGCATCTATACATTCTCATATAAAATTTTAATCATTTTTTTGCATAATTCTGCATTTTCTCTCATTTAAACTCATGCCACATCTTGGAATAATGAGATCTCATGAAGCTTAAGCCTCATGACTCAAGGCTTATGCCCCAACCTTGATCGGCAATTTCATGATCATAATACCATGTTTTAAAAATTAGGGAAAAAAGCAGTTTATTATCTACAATGTTACAATCCATTTCTCCCTTGATAAGCAATTTCATGACTATTTCTAAAAAATTAACAATGTGACAAATATTCAATCAAACAAGATAATTGTAAACTTGAAACAAGAGGCAGAAATAAATTAGGAAATCAATTTACCAAATATAGTGATTATATCACCTATTACTTTACACATGACTACCTAATTAATGGTTATTGAAGCAAATACTCACCCTCTTGCCATGATTAACGGCAGGATAGAAAGCTTACTAGAGATGAATTCGGCAGACAATCCTGTGTGGAGGGGATCTCAAGGAGACAAAGGTCTAGGATGAGATAGTTAAAAGAGGGGAATAAGAAAACTGCATTTTTCCATAAAATTTCTAAACCAAGAAGGCATTGTAATTTTATTTCATCCATCAAGATAGAAGAAAACGCATACGAAGGAGAGCAGGAGATATTGGTTAAGGAGACCCAATTTCCCCTTTCCTTTTCACCTTAGTGAAAGTAGATTTATAGGGCCTGGTTAGAGGATGGAGAATTGGAAGAAACCAAGTGGTAGTCTCTCACCTCCAAATTGTTGATGATACAATAATTTTGTTCTGTGAGGGTGTAAATTTCAAAAAGATGGGAAACTTGAAGTTATTGATCGATGATTTTGTGGGGTTGACTGGCTTGTGAATCAACTGGGGTAAAAATGGGATTTCAGGAATCAACTTGAAGATGGGAAAATGCAAAGATCTGGTGAGGTACTGGAATATAAGACTAGAGAGTGGCCTATAGTATACCTAGGTTTGCCTTTGGGAGGGAACCCTAGAAGTGATGAGTTTTGGAAGCCAGTGATGGAAAGGTTTGCTAGGAAATTAGTCCTTCGTAAGAGGCATTACATATAACTCGGGGGAAGAATCACTCTGATCAAAGCTTTACTGGCAAATCTCCCTATTTATTTCCTCTCCACCTTCTACATCCCAATTATGATAGCAGGCCAATTAGAGAAATACATGAGGGACTTTCTTTGGGAACCGAGAGAGGAAAAAAAGGATCACCTGGAAAAGTTGGAACAGGTTAGCAAACCTATGGAAGAAGGGGGCTTAGGGTTAGGGAACATTTTCCTYAGAAACATTACTTTGTTGGGTAAATGGTTGTGGAGATTCCCCTTCAAGAGAGATAGGTTGTGGCACAAGGTAATAACAAGCATTCATGGGTTGTAAGGTAATGGTTGGATGCTAAAGTTGTTGACCATTTGTCCTCAGTGTCTCCATGGAAAGAAATTTATGAAGTCTACCCAAACTTTCTTAACTCTATATTAGGTACAATGTGGGAAAGGATAACAAAATACGTTTCTGGGAGGACCTATGGCTGGGGAGAAGTCCAATCAAAGACCAATTCCCTAAACTCTTTTCCATCTCTCAATTTAAAGGAGAGACCATTTCTAGGTTGGGAACACCTCCAATTGGCTTAAACTAGAATTTGGGGTTTAGAAGGGGGTTAAGAGAAAATAAGTGTTCTTCCTTGATTCACCTACTTGATACCCTAAACCAGGCTTCATTGGACTCTTCCCTTGAAGGTTCTAGAATTTGGTCACCCTCTTTAGTTGTTCCTCCTTTAAATCCCTTACCTCATTTAACATCCAAGGGGTGGAATTCCCAGTGAAAGAAATTGTGTAAGCCTATTCCACTCAAAATTCAAGCTTTCTGCAGGGAAATTCTTCTTGGCAAGGTAAATACATGTGGCATGCTACAAAGAAGGCCTTTTGTTTGCCTCTCTCCTCACAAGTGTTTCCTTTGTAGGGTAACGACGAGATATTATCTCATTTACTACTCTGTCCTTTTGTGCTTAGAATTTGGGATTTTTTTGTTCTTTTCTTGTTTGCAAGTGGGTCCCACCCCAAGATGTGGAAGGTATTTTCGACCCTAACTTCTTGAGGCAACTTAAGAAAAGGGGAAAATTGCTTTGGAGAACCAATAATGCAGCAATTTTCTGGCTGGTATGGGAAGAGAGGAAAGTAGCAGAATTTTCCTAGAAAAAGAGTCAAAATTTGGAAGAGATGTATATGCAGTATAAAAACAAAGGCAATTCTTTGGGCACAGAATTTGGATATCTTCAAAACCTTTTCAGTAACTGATTTCTTCAGGGCCTGGACTTAAATAACACAATTATCAGGAGGAAAAGACAGAATCAATTGGGTTTGGAAATTAAACTTTGATGGGAGCTCTCTTGGAAACCTGGGTATGGCTGGAATAGGAGGGGTTATCTGAAATTTCGAGAGGAGAATCTTGGCTATACTCTCAGGACCAATTTGGCTTTGGAAATTCTTTGAAGGCTGAACTGTTGGCCTTATTGCAAGGCCTCAGGTTAGCTAAACAGTTGGGTTTTAGGATGATCAAGGTGGAAGGAGACTCACAAATAGTCATATCTTGGGATATATGCAGTAGGTGTACTCCTTGGTCCCTTCTGTATGTGCTACAGGAGATGGAAAAGATTGCAAAAGAAATGGTGGTTGAATTTAAATGGGTTTAGGTGTGCAAAAGGTTTAGATGACTCCTTTGCTAAGCAACGGGTAATGAGGGAACAACTGTTTTGGGAATCCATGTAATTTGGGAATTGCATGTAGGGATTGAAACTATGGTTAAAAAGTTGTACTAATCATTTCTTCTTTCCAAATTTTAATAGTCATTTTTCTACATATTAAAAAAATGTTGGTCCTAGCCATCTGGGTTCTTGGGAGGGGTAGACTGGATACAGTGCTAACCTTTGGCATTTTTTACACAAAGTGGCTACCCTCAAACTTTGCATTCTCATGCTTTCCAGCCCGAGATTTTACCAAACATTCCACCATAATCTTATTAATACCAAAGATCCAAGGTGTTGAAGATATAAGAGATTATCGGCCTATTAGTTCAATTGGTAACGTTTACAAATTATTGTGAAGGTGTTGGTTAATAGACTTAGAAAAGTCTAGAGTAAAATAGTTTCTCCTTCGGAAGGTGCTTTTGTAGATGGGTGACAAATCCTAGATGGTTCAATCATTACTAGTGAATTGATTCGAGAATCAAATTAGGAGTTCCTACGGTGATATGCAAGTAGTACAACTTGACAAAAAGAAACAAGAAAAAAAATGTATTTTCTGATGTAATTCAGAGAGAAGAAGAGAAATTAACCTAGAACCAAAGAGAAGAAGAAGAGAAAAGAGAAAGGGTGCGGTTAGATAATTCTGGACGCCCCACTAATTCTTGTTTATACTTGTAACTTTACAAAGAAATAGAATTCCTCTAATACCCCTACTAACTTCATAAGAAAACAAAAGAAATGAAAATGGCCCAACCAGCCCAACTACCATAACTATCACAAAGTAACATAAAGAAATAAACAGAAAAATAAAGTGTGGGACCACACACACTAACAGCCTATCAGCTATCTCTACACCCCCTCAAGTTGGGAGTAGATATTCGTCATTCCCAACTTGTGTAAATCTGTCTCCAACTTGATTTTTGTGACTGCTTTAGTGAAGATATCAACTACCTGCATATTTGAGGCAATATAGGGAAGACACTTCTTGAATAAAATGTCTGTCCACCTTGATATGTTTAGTCCTATCATGCTGTATTAGATTGTGGGTAATGTTAATTGCAACTTGATTATCGCAATACAGCATCAAAGGTTTCTCATAGTCAACCCCCGGCTCATCAAGTAAAGATCTCAACCATAACACTTCTGCAACACCATTGGCCATGGACTTGTACTCAGCTTCAGCATTGGATAGAGCAACAACATTTAGTTTCTTGCTTCTCCAGGAAACAAGGTTTCCCCCTACAAATGCACAAAATACCCAGAGGTAGATCTCTTGTCATCAATACATCTAGCCCAATCAGCATCTATATATACCTCTATCTTCATGCGACCACCATTCCTGAGGAGTATGCCTCTCCCTAGGCACCTCTTCAAGTAAGCAAGTATCCTTTTCACCGCAAGAAGGTGGGTGGTCCTAGGAGAATGCATTTACTAACTAACAACACTAACAACATACGAAATATTTGGTCGTGTTAGGCAAAGATAAAGAAGTTTCCCAACCAACCTTTGATACATAGCCTTGTCTCAAGAGGTTCTCCACCTTCTGCACTTATTTTATGGTTCAATTCAATGGGTGTGTCAGCAAGCTTTACTCCTAACTTTCTAGTTTCTTCCAATAAGTCAAGAACATACTTTCTTTGAGAGACAAAAATGCCATGCTTAGATTGAGCTACCTCAATTCCCAGGAAATAGTGTAATTCCCCCAAGTCCTTCACTTCAAATTCCTTGTAAAGGTGCTACTTAAGAGAGTCAATCTCACTAATATCACTTCCCGTCACTACAATGTCATCTGCATAGACAACAAGTAAGTCAAGGAGGAGCCTGTCTTCTTAAAGAAGAGAGTGTGACCTGACTGAGCCTGCATATAACCAAACCTTTCCAAGGCCAGTCT